CCTAAAGCTCTTGACGCCTTATCGACAACATATGCAATGTGTTGCTTGAATAATAGCTGCGAATCCAAGATCACACCCAAGTCTTTCACCTGATTCACGCGTTCGATTGTCGAGCCAAGCAGGTCATAGCTAAATATTATCGGTTGTTGTTTTCGTGAGAACGTAATAGCGGAGCGGATTTGTTGCGGATTTGAACTTTCAGTCGCGAAAATCGCGGAAACATTAAATGATGTCGCAAAAATCGTGAAGGGACTGATGTGCTGTCACAAAAATTGTGGAATTCATTGTAACCTATCCGTCCCGGATTATTTTGTTGTTCATTTGGCTCTCAATTTTTTATCGGTTCAAACCAAACACCTTAAAAATAATTGAGAAATGATCTCAATTCCATAATTCACACCGGATATACACGGAAATTCCCTGAGGTCTGTCCAATGTGAGACATTTTCATTTTTCTTCGAATGATTTCGTTGTCAAATCATAGACGAATCGTATATATGCGAGTAATTGCCATGTATACCGGATATTCTAGGTTCTCCAAATCGTCTTGGAGTTCAGTTGATTTGTTCTACTATGTCAAGAATCCTAAAAAAAATCTACGTAGTTAATGAACAGCCCCTAATGGGACCTGATCGGTTGTAGCAACGGTCTATCAACGACCGGCAATTGTTGGAAGTTCTGTAGTTTGTTTTGTGTGAGTTGCAGTATTATTTGAATTAAGAGTACTAATGGGGTCTGATTAACTGCCTCTTCCTGTCGAGCCCACGCTAGAACCTACATTTCGGATTTAAATCTATAAGTAAACCGATAAGTGAACTACTGGTCTGAGCTGCTCTGGTATATTCAATTAGAGGATGTTCCTGAATATACAGTCAAACAGCATGTAATGCTGTGAACAACTTCAATGACAGTTGTCCAGCGGTGCTCCCATTTTATTTACAACAATCCAATGCGTACGAGATTGTGCCGAAGATGTGCCGAATCTAATGTCGGCACAATGTGCTGAGAGACTTATCCCATCCCATACAGAAATTTCGAAGGAAACCAATTTTTATCCAATTTTTCACTAGCAACCAAAAGTATCCATTTGTATCTAAACCAGCGAATCCAAACACATAAAGCAACCAACAATACAGACAAATCCCTTGCTACGGCTACCACGACAAACTCTCACTGCAACACAGCTCGATCGGAGTGGTAGAAGGATAATGATATATTGCTTGCCTGCTTTGTTGCAATATACACGGATGAGAACATAGCATGATCTGAATCGAAAAAAGATATAACAAAAAAAAATCCCATTAACACACGTGTATCATCTTAGGCTTTGCTTCGTGAAGCAGCTTGCCCACAATTTGCTCGTTTCCTTCTACCACCCTGAGTGAGCTGTGTCGCACGGGTTGCTTGTCATGAAAAAGAATGAAGAAGATTGTATCATTATTGCTTTCCACTTCTGACATAGCGATATCATTCGGTTTGCTTATCATTTTGTCATTTGGAGATATATTTGATTCCTTGATCTAAACCTAAACTAATCATTTTTCAGGAAGCTTTCTCCTACTGGCTGCGTTTGTATTAGATTAGATTAGATTAGAACCGAGAAGTGAATTGCTGGTCTGAGTTCCACTAGTATATTCAATTAAAATATTTTTATGAAATACACAGTCAAACAGCACGTAATGTTGTGAACAACTTCAATCATAGCTGTCCAGCAGTGCTCCCATTTTATTTAATGAACAATCCAATGCCTACGAGATTGTGCAGAAAGTGTGTCGATGAATGTGCCCAAGCTGTGCCGCATCTACTTTCGGCACACTGTGCTGAATGATTTACCTCTTGAACAGCGGACATTATGCCATGGATTTGGTTCAGATTTCCTACAGAAAGCAATTAGAAACAGCCCCAAACCATAACATTTCCTACGCCGTACTTCATGGTTGGTTAGTAATGTCTGTTCTGTAGCGCCTCGGCACTTTTCGGTCATACTCTAAGACGTCGTTTCTCGTTGAACAGGTCGAACTTTGATTCATCCGATCGGACTACACGTTTCCAGATCTCCAGCGCTTATTAATGTGATTCCTTGTGAATGGTAGCTTCCGAGCAAAATGGTCATTCAAACCATGTTCAGCACTGCGTCGTCGAATGATTCGATCAGAAATCGACAGATTCATCCTTTCTTTCACTGCGCAGATTGTGAAGCGTGGATCTTTTGACGTAGGACTACGTCTTTGTTTTCTATATGGGGGTACACTTAGCGAGTACGAAAAATGAACATGTAACGAAAAGAGGTCAGGTTTTGAACGCATATTTCTCCAAAGCATTAAAGTAAAATATGTCATGCAACATGTTATTCGACGGGGGCTTCATTCAGCAATTTTGTGGCATATAGTACAAAGAATAAAAATAGTTAAACAGCTGAGAAATTTAACTAAAATTGGTAGCATTAAAATTTCCCATACATGTGCTTAGACCACAAGGTTTCTTTCCTAACACAGTCATTACATAGTTGGTCCCAAACGAAACAAGCCCAAGCCGCATTTCCTTTGGAGCTTCGGACGTGTTCATATCGATCGACCAACACACGATATGCAGACCGGTGGATAGGCTCCCCGCAAGCAGCTGGCTACCAAGGCTGCCTGCAAGAGCGCTCTAGCCAGAGAAGTAGTGAAGAAGCCACACCGCCATTGTTCGGGTACAGTTGCTTATCATGAGAAACACCACTGTAGCGTCATGCCGAAGAACATCAAACTAGCTCACTGTATCCGTGGAGGAAGTGCTTACAGATATCAGAATTCCCCAACCACGACAAAGATTGAACAACCCGGTACCGTGCATCAAACCCGCCGCTGTCAGAAGAATACTAACCTGTGATAAGTGGCGTCACGATATAGTACGTGTTGTTCATCGTAAAGTGGAGATCCGTCTAATATCAAGGCTACACTTTTGCCTAGGGCCAACAGCCCCTATTTCCCCTTAAAGAGTTAATTTTCATAATTTTGCTAGAAGCAAAACCCGCGTGAGTAAAATTGACGCACCAGAACGTGCCTAAAGATGACTGGCGCATGCGATTAACGAATCACGTGGCTGCAGTCCACCAGATATTGATATTGTTCCCTGTATTTCAAAAAGATACGCCTATTTGGAACATCAATCTTCATGTAGGCAACAAAAATCCGATGAGTAAATAAATAAAATCTAACCCAGCTTCTATGAAGTTCCCTGAACTTCTTCATGAATCCTTGCTCTTCAAAGAAGTTTTGCGAAGTTTCTAGATTCACTCAACTTGTGCTAAGATCGCTGAACTATTATAAATTCGCTGCCTTTCTTTGATGCTTTCCGAGCTTTTAAGAATTTCGTTTATATATAAACATGTTTTTTAAGAAGTGCTAAAGACAAAAGAAGGTCCCGAAATTTTAAGAGTTTCATGCAATAAAAAAAAGTTTAATTTGCCAAACTTATAGATGTTCCCCACTTTTACGAAATTTAAAAAAAATCGAAGCTGTCCGAATGTATATTAGATTCCAAGCATTTCTACGATTTCACTCGAACATCTCCAAAGACCTAAACTCGATGAAGATAAAGAAAAATGCCAAAACTTTAACGAGCTTCGCGAAATTTCTTCAAAGTTTGATGAAGTGCTACTAAATAATATGCATTTCTACGAAGTTCACGGAGCTTTTGCAATAATAGCTGAGGTCATATCAAATTTGTTGCGCTTCTAGAAAATCTCCAGAACTTCTTCGCAGTTTCTGAAGTTCTAAAATGTTTTCTATGGTGCCATGACATGTACGACAGATTTTTGTGGTTTCTTAAAGTTGTAACATTCTATAAACGTTTAAAAACTTTCCCCACAATTTACGAAGTGTGTGTTTTTGTGTGTATTCCCTCTAACCCCAGGCAGTGTTAAATATTATGGAAGAACACTCTCTACAATGTCGCATTTATGGTCATTGTAGACAGCTTTAGTCCGGGAGTTAGAATGTGATAGCTCTATTGCAGACCCAGCAACCCATTTCAGAATGTCTGTCACTCACAATAAGCCCCGCATGTATGTATCACCGTTATCAAATGGATATTCGTTATATATACACACTTCCAGGTTCGAAAATATTTTTTTTTCTGCCTGGCATGTATTTTAATTTTGATATTTAATTATTTTTTAAATAATTGGAAAGCTCTCACCATATTCTGCTCTTCCGCCGTCGTTAATTGCTTCTTTTATAATCCCTTGGACTTTTTCTCTAACGCTTCGTATTTCATTCCGTGCTTCACCGGCAATTTCCTTCCGTGGATCGTCCTTGGTTGGTTCTAATAGGATTCCGCCTTTTTTAGTTGGTTTCATGTCCACCATATGTCATTGAATTGCCATGGTGATCTGGGACGAGGCTCACGTCCTAAGTCGCTGGTCCACCGAGCGCCCCGTGTGTGAAAAGATAATGAAAGAAATACGAAAGGGATCAGTTTCAAGAAGTGACAGTTTCATCAGATTCCCCAACTAACCATACTCAAGCAAAGTAAGAATATACAAGCTATATTGCGACTATATGGTTACTTGGGTACTCATATGGCCGTCAGAATGGTTCATCGGTTGCGAAGTGAAGTATTTCTGATAGTGATGCGTTATATTTCTCAATGTTTTGATTTTATCCTAATGTTACCTCAATGTTATATCACAGACAAGCAGACACGACACATTGAACATTTACCATTGTAAACCCTACCGCCATCTGTCGTATATACTTTGATGTATAAACACACAATACACTCAACAGATGGTTGTAGCACAAACGAAGTGACAGACGGAGTGGCTCGAAATTTCTTTTCCAACAATTTACTAAGTTCCCTGAAATCAATCTCTTAAATCATAGCTTCTATGAATTTTCATTGATTTCTAAGAAGGTCCTTGAATTTCTGTAAAAATTCAGTTGGTTAGTGTCGCCTTGGCAGGGTGTTTTTGTTTTGTTTTTCGGGAATGTTTTAGGTAAAATTAATAGCACATGTCGTCAATAACAATAAGTTATATTTGTTATTTCTGGTTATCGCTAGTTTTGACTTTTTTTTTTATAAAACGATAACAAATTGTTAATTAATATTAACACTCGAGTAATCAATTATTTTATATCCAATAAATTAAATCAATCATTTTTTCTATTATATTTGCCCACACACACTACCTGTCCAGTTCAAACTAGTGACTTAACATCCACGTCCAATTTTTTGCCTTTTTTAATCTCATGACAGCGCAATTCAACCTGTAAAATGTCCGTTTTAATAGCTTAGTCCATTCCATATGTTCACTCGCTTTGTTTTTTTTTCCCGTCTCTGTAAGTGCCTGCTGCAGTGTATTGCTAGATTGTAAATGCTTGTCTTAGTTATGTAGTTATACAACGTTACTAGGATCTGTTTCGGGTTTCAATTAGTGAAATCTCTTGCAAAAAAATAACAAAAAATAGAATGAAGTGTACTTAACAAGTCAGTCTACTGTCTAATCCTATGAAAATGAATGCCTAACAATATGCATCGGAAGTATACAGCTATGCCCGGTTTTGAGAAAACACGTCTTAGGAAGCTAAAAAGATAGTATTCGGCGCCTGTTAAAAAAAATTCTAACTAAAATTTTACACAAAGACAATCCGCATCTTTCCTCTAGCACTGGTGTACTGCGTTGGATCAAGAAGTGGCACCCGCGCTGGTAGAAGATCGATTGCTCTGGCTGCTGATTCGTTTCGAGGACTCCGTTGGCTATGGCTTTGCTGGTTATGCACTTTTCGACTGAAGCTTGACAAGCGCGAAACAAAGTCATGCAAGGAGATAGAAAGCCATCCGGGTGTCCGAGATGACTTTGTGCTATGCACTCTATTCACAAACGATGGGCAATTTCTCCCGCGTTGCTGGGTTTAGTCTGCTTTTATGCCAGCTTTAGATTGTTCCGTGTGTTCTTCAGTAGAGGTGATTTGTTGATCTCCATCTTCAACTGCTTCTTCCGGAAATGTGCTAGCCATATCGGCTTCTGGCATGACGTCTTCTTGGAGATCGCCTTGATCGGGTGCAATCGTAAGCTCTTGGTCGAGTACTGAAAGATGGAATTAGGTGATTGAGGATTCCTATAAAGGCCAATAGGCACTGAATAGACACCTACCTTCAGTGTCTGCTTCTGCACTGGCAGTTTCTTCCGAAGAGGATGGTTCGGATTCTGCCAGAGATGAAGATGAACCGTGTTGCTCCTTGAGTTTATCTAGTTGTGCTTGCTCGAACGGTAGCTTCGGTGCCAGTGGTCGTTGTTTCTTTGATGGATTGTACACACCACAAAAGGCACATCGAAAAGCTGCATACTCGTATTCTTCCTGCAGAGCCATACCTAAAACAAGACTTAAGCCCTTGAAGAAAATAGGTCCGCATTCAAGAATAACTGCTTACCATTATGCATGAGACACTGACTGCAAATCATGGCGAAACGACTGTTTGGCCCATCGCCCACAAGATAGTCAACCATCTTCTCGATTACTCCCTTTTGGTTGTGATTGATGATCGGATAGGGTGTGCGGCGGTAAGGCATGGTTTGCATTGACCCCGGTACCATTCCCATGGGCCGTTGAATGATGCCAGCGGAATGGGGTTGATAGAAAGATCCCTGCATGCCTGCATTGGGCTGTCTTGTGCCGACGTTGAACCCAATCGGGGTGTTGGGCAACTGCTGTCGAACTGGTGTCATTTGTGGCCCTGGGGCTGATTGAGCTGGTCTCATCTGGGTTGGTCCTTTTGGAGTCATCTGCATCGGTTGGGGTCCTTTCGTTGGTGATAAACCTAGGATTGGTGTGCATAATACAGATATATTATCAATTCAGAAGGCAGACAGCCAGCAAAGTAAAAAGGACGATTTTCTACGCACCACTCAATCCCTGATTCTGCATTTTAAAAGACTTTTCGCCGAATTTGTTTAAAATATCCACCGCCACTTTGTACGTTTCCTTATCCATAACTTTCTCCAGGATTTTCTTCTTCTCTGCTCGGAGCTCTTTCAGCTCGTTCGTGTTGATAATCACCTTACGCTCGAAGTACCATGCTAGTCCTTTCTTGATCAAAGTGATACTGAAAATGTGTTGAGCAATTTTTTAAAATACTTAAAAAGGATTTGCGGGAAACTCACATCATCGGACATATCAGCAGTGGTAGGGAGTGGATGATCCGTTCGTTCCATGTTGGCGGGAAGAACACAAAGTAGAATACGGCGAACGATATCACGTACAGACCGATCGAGATGACCAGAAAATTGGCGACGAAGCGCTTCTGTCGCTCCTGGGTACTTATTGTGTACGCTTCGAGATCGCTTATCTTCTCCTCCAGATTCTCCAGTATCTGGTAGGTGGTTTTCTCTTTCTGTGTAAAGGAAGGTGCAATTAAATTGGACGAAAAAAAAAATCAGTTCATTTAAAGACTACATTCACGAAAGAGGGAAATTGCTAGCAAAAAGTGAATGTGTTCATATCATACATACGTCAAGGCAAGACTTTCGGTTTAATGAAATTAATACACGAAACGGCGTCATCGATGCGGTTCAATGAATTATTCATCAATGCATGAGTTGGATTTTTAAAGTGCTTCCTCGAAATCTGCACGAGAGAACTTTCCCACCCATTCCGTCGCGCAATATTACATGATCTATCCCACCCCAGATTCCCCCGACAAGTGCATGATAATAATATAACAATAAACGACGTGTACTCACCCGAAATCGTGAAATTATAGCCCCCATGGTACCAGGTTTCTCTGGGCTGCTTTTGACCGTCAATCAAACCTTTGTTTCACGTCAAATCAAATCTAAGATATTCATTCGCAAATACCAGCGAAAATGATAGGCGTACGTGTCCCAATATTCAGCAAATCGGCCAAAATTTCCTGCTCAAAAAGTCAATCTAATAATAACCACTTGAATCCATGAACGAACTTCGAGGGTATCCAAAAATAGAGCGCCGCTTGTTGCCTCAAAAAAGTTCGATGTTTTGCTTCGTCTCTCGGCAGGTTATCTACGCACGCAGGCCACTCACATTTGCACTATGATTCCGGTCACAAAAGAAAACGTCATCAAAATGCAAGTCCTTTTCACCGTTGCTCCTTGCCAATGTTTGCTTCCTTTGCTCTGCACTGTATGCCACAAGTCGACTCACCGAAAATTTAATTTCTTTTACTCGATTTTGAATTCGCAGAACGGCTCACTCGCGAATCATACTTCTTATCGCAAGAAATTAATGAACACGATAAAAGATTTAATAAATAAAAACGACACTCACCGTCACCTCAAATTTTGTGTGTTTTTGGTGACTTTATGAGACCGTTTCCATTCGCTTTTTGCCAACTACAACAGTCGACCTCCGTTCAATGATGATACGCGAATGCTAAGGATTTCGTATTTTTTTAATACTTTTTTGTTTTGCATTTTGTGGATGTGGTTGTGTGTCAAGCTGTCAAAGAGGAAAACAAGAGCTACTGTCAAAATTTGAACCGGTTTATCACTTTATCAGGGCTGTACAAGATTTGAAAAACTGTTAAGCATTTAAATCTGCTCGAATTGATGGTACGCAATGCTGAGTTTCAAAATTCAAAATAGAGTTGGAATTAGGGCGTAGCAGCTTTTGTAAACAATGACTTCTCTCGATGGTTTCTAAAAATTCAAGCCTCGCCCACGCAAGCCAACATCAACATAGGATAGGGGAAGACTTCTCCTACCCGATGGTCATGTTGGTTTGCGTGAGCATGCCTTCAATTCTTAGAAATCATTGCTGAAAGCTGTTACGCCCGAGGTTACACCCACATTCCAGCTCTATTTAGAATTATTTCAATCTACTAATCTACTCTACGCACTTAGATTTTTTTACAGTACACTGTAATTTTTTACCAAATATAGAACAGCTGAACATTCGGTAATCTATTCGGTAATTTTTTTATTTACAATACGTTCAGTAAATTTTCTTCGTTTGTGAGCTGTCAAAATTTGCTGACCTGAACTGTAAATTTTGCTGAATGATCAGTAAAGTTTGCAATAGCGTTCAGTATAATATTTACCGAAATGACTGTACTTTATTTTCCTGAATGAATGATAAAAATGATTTTAACTAACCACTTCATTCGAGCAGTTAAAATGACATTTACTACCACTCGAACTTTGAAATAAAACATTATTATGAGATTTTTTCTTCTAGAACTTCGAGAAAAGTAGTCAACATTTCTGCGTTTCATAAAAAAAATAAAAATTAGTTGCTCCAGTTTTGTGAAATCGCTGGTAGAAAGTCAAGCCAAAACTGCTTGACAAAGTGGTCAATTGATTAATTATTCATTATTTCTTTCTCTAAATAAACGAAAAGATTAATTTGGCGCATAAACATTTATTTTTGCATTCAAAGTGTTTTTATGTTACTTCATACGCGAAGTTAACGATTTTCAGAGTTGGTTGGAAATGCTAACATGAAGCTTTAGTGTGATGATTTATTAGCTAGAGAATGATCTTTAGAAGAGGGTAGGTGGATAGTTCCGTTAGAGTACGGCAGTATGAAATTTGAATAGAAGTTGAAAATGAGCGAAGGGCCATTAATGCGACAGTTTTTCAAGATAGACGCACATTTTTGCCTAAACTAAAAATGTGCGTCTATCTTGAAAAACTGTCGCATTAATGGCCCTCCGCTCATTTTCAACTTCTATTCAATTTTCATACTGCCGTAATCTAACGGAACTATCCACCTACCCTCTTCTAAAGATCATTCTCTAGCTTATAAATCATCACACTAAAACGCTGTCCAGACTGGAGAGTTATAACATGTTATAACGGTTGTCAAATAATTGCAACACAGAAACCACCATCAAGATAGCGCTATAACATGTTATAGCTCTGTAGTCTGAACGTACTATAAAGCTTCATGTTAGCATTTCCAACCAACTCTGATTTATTTTTGTTTTTGTATTTTCATCGTGCGTCCGTTCCAAAATACACCGCACACAAACTCGTTTTTTCCTGTTGATGAGGACATTAGGTCGCTTAATGTCGAGCTTAAGACTTTTTTGAGTTTGGAAACTTTATTTTAAACTGCTCGAATAATAAGATCCATTTTTGCACTATTTTGAGGTCACCCCTGCGGAACCGGCTGAGTTCGTTGGGATATTTCGATAACTCGCAACACTGTTGCCGCTTGACACTCCTTTTTGTGTGCTATTTTTATTGTTGACAGTCTGCTCGAGTGTGTCCATTTTTTTTGTCTACGGTGCACCCTCACTTTCGAATAGAATCATTTTTTCACCGTAGAACTGATAAGAAAATCCCTCTACACTCGTTTTATCGAGCATCGAAATGACTGCGGATCTGGATCAGTGGATAGACATTACCAAACATTGTAAATACTTGCCCGAAAATGACCTGAAAAAGCTGTGTGATATAGTTTGTGACTTGCTGATCGAGGAATCCAATATTCAACCAGTGAGCAGTCCTGTGACAGTCTGTGGCGACATTCACGGTCAGTTTTACGACTTGGAAGAACTGTTCCGCACGGGAGGACATGTGCCAGACACCAATTACATCTTCATGGGTGATTTCGTGGACCGTGGTTACTACAGTTTGGAGACGTTCACCCGTTTGCTAACGCTGAAAGCGCGATATCCGGACAAAATAACTCTGCTAAGAGGTAATCACGAATCCCGACAGATAACCAAAGTGTACGGGTTTTATGACGAATGTTATACCAAATATGGCAATGTGAACCCTTGGAAGTACTGCTGTCGGGTTTTCGATTTGCTGACCATTGCTGCCTTGATCGACGAAGAGGTTCTCTGTGTTCATGGTGGACTAAGTCCGGAGATTAAGACATTGGATCAAATCCGGTCCATCAATCGTGATCAGGAGATTCCTCATAAGGGTGCTTTTTGTGATTTGGTTTGGTCGGACCCGGAGGACATTGAGACATGGGCGGAAAGCCCGAGAGGAGCCGGCTGGCTGTTTGGCGCCGCGGTGACACGGGATTTCATACATATCAACAAGTTGGAGTTAATCTGCCGCGCCCATCAGTTGGTGCACGAAGGGATAAACTATCTGTTTGATCAAAAGCTGGTTACCGTTTGGTCCGCTCCAAACTATTGCTATCGGTGCGGTAACGTTGCAGCGATACTCAAGTTTAATACGTCAAAAGACTCCTTGGTGGAAATCTTCAAGGCCGTTCCGGACAACGAAAGAGTCATGCCAAGTCAGCGTATTACTCCGTATTTCTTGTAAAAATTGAATCGTGTCTTAGCGTCTAACTATATTGAAAAGCTTGTGTAACCCTAAAGTGAATAAAATTACGCTTTGTGATTACCTACTGTCGTTCTACCGTTTATGATGTTCACATTTCGCCCTGTTATTGGTTATTGTAAGTTTCAGCAACAAGTTGCATCAACTCCAAACAAATTTGAAAACATAATTAAAATTATTGTTCAGTAAGTAGGGTAGGTGTACCAGTACCAGGCTATCCGTTCCTAATATGGTGTGTTCCAATTATGCCCCATGGAATGCCCATAGGTCATAATTGGAACAGCATAATAGAAACGTATAGCCATAACTGGTACACCTACCCTTAATCGCATAACAGTCCCGTATGGGTAGGAAATCAAGCACTGCCTTTTGTCGCATAACAGTCCCATGGCCTGTGGATTTCCGATGTAGAGTATGGTATAATTAAATAGCATGATTTATGTTGTACAAAACAGTAAATTTCATGGTAAATGGAAAAGTATTTTAACAATGAAATTTTCGTGATTTCCCCATATAATTTTTTTTCAATAACATTATATATCAGGCATAACATTTGAAAACGGCACAAAAGCATTGGTAAACAAACTTTCTAAGTGAATTCTGATGAATGTGGGCGTCTTAGTGGAATACCTGTATAATGAGAGAGAGAAGGATTAGTATTTTCCATTTAATTCCACTACTTTATTTGCTTATCCTTGACAGATACGCGTATTTCGTCTACAATGTGCAGACTTCTTCAGTGTCTTGTACTAATACTCGACTAAGTCGAGTATTAGTACAAGACACTGAAGAAGTCTGCACATTGTAGACGAAATACGCGTATCTGTCAAGGATAAGCAAATAAAGTAGTGGAATTAAATGGAAAATACTAATCCTTCTCTCTCTCATTAAACTTTCTAAGGCCCTTTACACACGAACCAAAGTACGCCCACGCAAACCAATACCACTTTCGGAAAGGTGATAGTTGCCCCTATCCGATGATGTTGTTGGTTTGCCTGGGAGTACTTGGGTTCGCGTGTAAAGGGCCTTAGAAAGTTTGTTTACAAATGCTTTTGTGCCGTTATCAAATGTTATGCCAGATATTATTGTTATTTTACTGTTGGTTGGCGAATTTATTGATTAAAAAAAAATAACAGTGTACTTTAGAGTGTATGTGTTGGCTTGACAGATCTACTGTATCGACTTTAAAAATAAATCGAAAAAATAAAACATCGCTCCGGGAAGGGAAGGGGGTGGTATTGTCTGTTACGGGGGAGTCATTTTTTTTACTGGTTGTGGATTGAGATTCGATCCGGAACTTGTGAGAAATGGAGGCCAACTCCCCTGCACTCGATCTCTCTAGGTCACGCCTCCTTGGTGGTTGACCGTCGTTGATAACTTAATGCATTCTACTGGAGAGAATCGCCCTTGAAATATGCTTCCACCTGAGAGTTCCTTCCTGACATCTTCAAATGGTGGAATTTTTATTATTATATTGTATGATTATTGACTGCACGAAAAAGGTCTGCATTAAGCGAGGGGGCGACACATCTAAATCTCAATTCTAGATGCTCAACAATTCTCACACTAGCGAATCAATCTTCGAAAAATCTTCTTTCATTTCTCCCATCTACTTACATCGCGCATCATCTTTTTGCAAGAAATCTTCAGAATCGTCATCAATCTTCTTTCTATCTACTCAGCGTGCGCGCAGCTAACCACAGCAAAACACATTTTTTCCTGTATCGTAGATAGAGTCGTCCCCCTCGGCATTAAGATGGATTCAGATGAGGCAGGCGAGTTGGATTCAACTCAAACCGATCTGGTCGTAGGCGTTCAATTGACTTGGCAACGAATAGAGCAAGTCCAATATCGGTCAGATTTCTGGACGTTCATTTCGCAGTTCAAGTGAGTTGAACGCTGAATTGAACCATCTTAACGCAGTTTTAGAGAGAGTCTAGGATAAGAGATGAGCGGACGCGGACTGGCTGGTACTGGCACTGTATTGAAGCGAACCCTCACCTGGGTTGCAACCTAAGTGCTGTCAAACTGATAGTTTGAACGCCAGTAACGAACCTAAGTTCACCACCAAGCAACCTGAAAAACGACTAGGTTCGAACCCGAATTTTGTTCGAGGTTCATCAGTTTTACGCATACATTCAAAACTTAAAGTATGGGTGAAATGTCAAAAAGGTAGACCACAAAGTCAGTCAGAAAATATTGAATTGTTATGAAGTTCTATATCAATTTTTACTTTGCGATGGTATTCGGGTATTTTTCGGTCCAAACGCGCTATTCAAATGACTGTATCTCTGAAGCCAAAAGCTCGATGATCTTGAAATGTTGTGACTTTTCCTAACTTCTGTTAAATTTCAAGAGTTTTGGAGCACGTACAGTGTCTCAGAATAAAAAAGTCACACGCCCGGCTTCTGGGTCGGTAGATGGAAACGAAACATTTTCCTGCCGTCAAATTTTTGGATTTTGCGTTGTTCCGGGTTTTGTTTTTAACAGTAGAGTGATATTGGTGACGAACGGATACTTGAATTTCCTGAATCAAGTTCCACAGTGAGCGGATTGTGTCGACATTCCGTGCAAGCTCTACCACAAACCGGATTACCCCGTGAAGCGAACCGTCTACAATTGCGACTTCCCCTCTAACACATCAGGCTAGCTTGTTGGGTTCACTTGGACAGATTTGGTGAGTTCGTTGCATTTTGTCCTTTATAATATTTTCATACTTAATTTCCGAGTACTAGTACTAGTACTAGTACTAGTGATACTACAAATGCTACAAACATTTCCAACTCATTAAATACGCGTCAATCAAGAATTATAGCTTGATTGAGAGTTCCAGTACATTATTAATGATTCCCACATTGAAATGTATTGGAGCGGGGCTTATCGTATACGGAAATATCTTTGGAATGCTTGCGTTCTTGAAATGGGCTGTTGCCTTCTAACTCCCGGATTTAAGCCTCTTGCAATTATTTATATAAAAGATGGTTGCCGGAGGATTCTATCCATAATGTCACTGCCAGTCAGTGGAAGTTAGATTGTTAATACACACACACACACACGCCCGGTTTCTGGGACCTGCATTTGGCCAACTGGATCGGAAAAAATCCGTGACTCCTGAGCATCGATTCATGTTGGCATGGCTGGTTCTCGGCAATGCGTCCATCAAATTTTAAAATTGAACCCTATTTTGAAAGGACAAAGGCTTTTCAGCGAAACAACTAGAGAATCGATTGGACTTGCTGTTGGCCAGCCGGACCGAGAAAACTAGTGAGAGGATTATGGTCTGAAGATTCCCGAAAAACCCATGTACGGTCAATTCTTGAAACACAGCCTATCCCAACAAACAATTGACTATTGAAGAAACGACTTCTTGACGATTTTATTCAACTTCATGCTTAATAATACTTGTACTATTTTTAATAATAACTTCTGTGCAGGCTTTGTTCACACAAATCTGGAGAATTTATTCAACCACAACATCGAAATATTTGGTGTTGAATAAGGTATGTCGAGAAGCTTTTATACGACTTACAAAAGTTGTAACAGAGGCTTACTCGATCAAATTTTTGATTATTCAGCGTTTATTAGACATCATTACCATAGAGGTAACTCTAAGACCACTGGGTCCCGAAGAAAATCATTATTATTTTTGGCTCACTCAGTACCAGAACAACGGTCCCAAGCAGTCCCAAGCTATTTCACTCACCCCTGCATGTTCTGCATGAATCCACACACCCCTGATGTTATCTGTCAAACTTTCATAGCGAATCAAAACAAACATAGTGTAGTAATAGAATTTCAACTAGAATAGGGTACGTTAATCGTTTGCTTGGGACCAATAGGCTACTAAAGTGGTGAGCCAATTTAAAATCGTTAGTTTCGTATTGATTGTTGTCATTACTTCCTTAAACACCGATGGTATAAAGGTGTATATAGACGCTTGATTCTCATGTGAAATAATGTTTAATTAGACACTATTATACATTTATTAAACGATTATTCAACTACGGGATAATTAATCCGAAAATAAGAACGCGGCAGAGCAGGGTTTTGTTTCTCTCTCGTTAGTGATTGTTGTGTGTCATTTACTTCTGTCGAAGCACGCACACAACCTAGAAAATTTATTACATTCACACATGTCCGTTGGATGGGATTCGAACCATGACCTTTCGATCACCAGCCGCTTGCCTTGCCATCTGAGCTATCCTAGAATACATCAAAAGGGCAGCTAAATAAGTATTAAAGGTTTAAATTTGAAAACCTATCCGAACTCCCAGTCGTAACTCTAGCTAATTGTGAGAATGATGAATTCATTCATAGTTGTTTAACATGAGACCAACGTTACCTCTCCATCTCTCTAATTTCGATGGAAAGGATGCTATTCTTTTCAATACATCTATGAATTGGTTGTCGTAAGTGATACGATCTATGATTACGATTTAAATTAATTAGGCGTAGAAAATAAATAAAAAAAAGGGTTGAGGTTGGGATTGAACTCGCGACCTTCAACTTGGAAAGCGGAAACGGTAACCACTATGCTACCAATTTCGTTTTGTTGTTAGCCTGAAGCAGTGTTGTGGAATAATGAATGAATACGCCGTTTGTAAAGCATTTACAAAGCATGAAATTATAACATGGACGCATAGTGGTATAAGAGCTATTTTGCTGACTGTATTCACCTTTATACAGCAATATTGTAAAGCAATGCAATGGAATCTAATAATGGAGCTAAAAAACAGTCATAAGACGTCTAATAAAGCATTTTATTAAATCAATTGAAAACAGTCGAATTAAAGCGACAATGTATGCGCAAATTACACTTATTCAGTTTGTTATTAGATCAAACCTCTGGTTCTGAATCAGAAAGACAGTCAACGTCTATAAAGCTTTTAATAAGTAAATTAATCATATCAGAGCAAACGGCGGAATAAAGGCGCATCTATCGATCTCAATAAGCTTTTTTCAGCACATAATTCAACATTCTTTTTTATTCAGCATTGTACACTGTTATACAGCATTTATTCAATGTGTATGCTTATTTGTGACTTTGAATTGTTTGTTGG